AGTTCTTCTGATGTTCTTAGCTCCCTAAGCTTTCAATGTCATTTTCAATACAGGTGAAATGATAATTACAGTTCACAGAGGAGAGATCACAGATACATAAATCTTGATCTCAGGGTTTAACTGCTTCTCTCACCTGTAATTGTAGTTGTCATGAGCATCACAATGAACTCGAGACCTTGAAGAGTGATGTAGGCAGGTGAGCATTTTGTATGTCAGCCTGATTGGTACAGCCAGTAAAGAAAGAATGTGTAAGGGCTTAATGTGAGCCTCAGGTATTCTGGGATGGAAACAGGTTAAGAGCAAAGGTAGACAAGGAGAGAAATTAATCTTTTATTGTGGACTCAGCTAGAGAGAAAGATGAGGATCTTAGAACCCAAATAACTTCCTGGTGTCTTCTAGTGTAATTGAAATTAGACTGTGGATGAACATTTGGGAATGATGATAAGGAGCAGCACTATGGTTTTATGTGCTTAACAATTGCTGTACCAAAACATATTTGGTCTTCATTTAATTTACAGCAAGTTAAAATATAAATTCATAGTCCTTCACTCTTTTTTCTTCCTTCTTTTTCTCCCTTCCCTTCCCTTCCCTTCACTTCCCTCTCTTTATGTTTATTTTGTTTATTTTCTATTTTTTTATTATTTTGAGACAAAGTCTATTTATATAATTCATGATGTCCTTGAATTCACTATGTATCCCAAGTTGGTCACAGTCTCACAGCAATTCTCCTGCCTCATACTCCTGAGTTCTGGGATATAGGCATACATTATTACGCCCATCTCCACAGTATTATTTTTAGTGTGTATATCACCCCTTCTTGTTATAAAAAGGAATAAAATGCTGGTATAAGGACTGCAAGTATCCTTGCAGAAAATAATTACCTGAAATTATTTCTGCAATAAACATGTGCTTTAAATAATCTAGCTCTCTATAGTTGATGTACATGGCAGAAAAAGTAGTTGTAAACTACTGGAGACACATTGTTCTGGTGATTTTGGGGTTACTGCTTTTTATTTGAAGCTAAGGAAATATCATTTCAAGAAAAGTAATTTCATAGTTTTGTGTAGTAGACAACTGCTCTCAAAATCAAATGGATCTTGTACTATTTTTTCTGGTATAAAAAGTTGTATATATATATTTTTTTAAAAAATCTTTCACTGAAGAAAGAGTGCTTCTAATGGCATCCATTTTCTCAACATTCTGAAACTATGTAAAGTAGAGGGTTTTTAATTTTAATGTCATAGGAATATGTCTAGAATGTATTCATGTTACTTCTCTGGGACATTATACTGGTTGACTTAGAAATTCCTCCTTCTACCCTCCAGCAATGAGTGGTAACCAACATTCCACTCTGTGTTTGTACAGCTTTGTACAATCTAGATTGCACTTATAAATGTGATCATGCACTATTTGCATTTGATAGAATATTTTGCTCAACATAATATGCTTAAAATTTACCCACTGGATAATTTTGCTTTTAAGCTGAATAATATTCCATTCTATGTGCACAACACATTTTTATCCATTATCTTCCACTGGAAAGTAATGTTTCTTCTTCATATTGATTATTGTTTAGAGTTACTAAAATGAACATGGAAGTTCACTTTTGTGATATATGTTTTAATCTTTGCATAAATACACAAAAGTGAGATTGTAAAACCAGTTGGCAAGAATTCCTTCTTTGTAGAACATCCATAAGACTTTCCAAATTGTCTCTAATCACATGTATGTGTTTCTTAGAAACTCTTTCCAAATCTTTGACCCACTTTTAACTGGTTGCTAATTTTTTCTTTGACTTTCTTTCATTGAGTTGTACAATTTAATTTCTTTAGGATTCCAACATCTATGATAGTCAAGATTGCAGACTTTCCACATTCCATTTTATTATATGTCTTGCAGTTTAACATGTTTCATGAATCTTTTCACCTTGCTAACAGTTTTACTTGACACACACTCTATGTAGAAATCCACAATGAAGGATTTTCTATCTTATCCTATTTTAATACATATTGTATAATTTCATTGTATAGTTCAGAAGTATAGTTATATTGCTCATTAATTTCCTTAATAGTAGATCAAATATTTTTTTGTTTCTGTAATGTTGGCAACTGAATCTTTCTAGTAATATAATAATGTTGAGCTAGTGTTTATCAATGAATTCAGCTTATTTATGGGATGATTTCTTTAGAATTGAGTACAGTACTATGTAGTTATGAGTTTCTTAAATGTCTCACTCATATTTAATGTAAAATTGTATAGCAATATTTACTCAAAAATAGAAATGTGCTATAACAAATTATTTAAAAATGCCAATCATGTATGATAAAAAAACTCTATTGTATAAAGACATATTGCAGGCCTGTGTTATTTGAAAATATAGGTGGCATGTTTTGTCACTGTGACACAGTAGATAGGACAATGATCATCCAACTGGCTAATTTTCTGATATTCAAGTTTCTTCTCTATCACTAATTTACACAGATTCCCTAACATTTTTGTATCTTTTGTATTCCTTCTATAAAGAACCTTGAATGTGGCAACTTCTGGCCCATTCTGGTTAATGAACCTCTGTACTCAACATCAAGACCTCTCCAGATTTTCAGCTGAAGTATGTTATCAAGGACTGGAGGTTCAAACTTTTCCTGTCCTCACAGATGTATACTGTGACTTGAATTTCTGTAGCCATTGTGATGAAGCCCATGAACTCCAGAAATATAGAACTTAATATAAATTCTTCCAATTACAACTCTTTGACCACTTTAACCTTATGTACCCTGTGTTATTTATATTTTGTAGTTGGTGTGTGTTTTTGATACATAATAATTGCTTTCATTTCAAGGAATCAGTACACACACATATCACATCTTGAATCAGTTTTACTTACCAAATCTTCCTTGGTCCTTCCCTTTACTCCCTTCCTCAGATCTAACGCCAATCACTTTTTATTATGCTTCTAGTTGCCAAATACACTAGTATAAACTTCTCAAATCCATAAAGGTTCAGAGTACTCTTCTGCCAGATTTTATGACAAAGTCAGAGTCAAGACACAGCATTAAAAAGCAGACCACATGCACACCATTGTGTTTTTGTGGGAAGTGACTTATCCAGCACTGTGCCCTGGACCTCTTGCCATGTGTGTCAGTTTCATGTGCAGACACATGTGTCAGCTCACCCGTATAGTTGAACACTAACACGACTTCCATACACTTATGCTGACTTCTTTTAGAGACATGCATGTGGAAAGAATGAAAGCCATCTCAGCTAGTGAGGGCACAACTCTGCAGAATTTCACAAGGGGAATATAATTCTCCATGTAAATGACAAACCAGGAAATGCATGGAGTATTGTCATTTGAGCAAAGTAACCTTTTGTCTCCACCAGGTAAGTGGTCCTGGTTACAGTTTTATTGCATGTATTTGAAGAGTGGAGCAATAAAATATAGGCTTACATCATTTCTAATATTTAAGAGTTTACATTAATAATGCCTGATCAATATTTTATATAAATGATCAGGCATTATTCAATGACATTTTCACATTTGTCTTTTATATGCCCTTCATGAGAGTTTTGGAGAATTCTTCTCAATTATCAAATATTATTCAAGGTATTCATTCAAGTTTTTCAAGTTATTCTAGGTTTCATTCCATGGCATGAATATCAATTAATTGGGTTATTACTATGTTAATGGGCATGTGCTTTGGCAATCCTCTATACTGAAAAATGATCACATGTACCAGGCTGTGGCACAGCTGGGGCATGGTGTCCCAAAAGCAAAGAGAGCTTGGCTCAGGGCAAGCCATATGAAGAAGTTGCTTCAGCCCAGAAAAACTTCAAGTCCCTTGACAATCCAAGGAATCAGTTAGTAGGCAGTGGGATTGAAATCGACATCATCCTTCTGGGTGTATAAATAAATGTACTACATTGGTTGAGCAGTTTTTTTTTTACTCACATCAGGAGAGGACTCCAACTGACACCAGCTTGATCTCTTCATATTGTCATCCTCTCATTGTGTTTCACCACAGGAACCTGCAGAGCCACGCTGTCTGTGGCACATGTGGATGGATTTGAGTTGGAACTATAGTGAGGCATGATAATGGCTACTATATAAAATGTTGAGATTTTGTCTCAGGAATGCATTGATGATTATTTGTTAATAAAGTTATAGAAATGAAACTATTACAACATATAGTTCATAGACTTATATAGAAGTTACTAACCAGTTTTCAAAAAGAGTTGTGCCTGTTTTATAGAAACAAACTCATAGTTTATGCATATTCTTTCCAACTTTGTTGTTTCTTGTAATTTTAATTTTGGCAATCTGGGTCATGTATGATGGAACTACATAGTGATTTTACTTGATATTTTCTCATTACTAAGCATATAAAACAATTTTAATATACTCATTCTCAATAATATACTTTTAATATACTCATTCTCAGCTAAATAACTTTTTCTGAAATTTAACTTAAATATATTTCTCATTTTTTTATTCTCAAAATATGTTTTTCTCTTTCTCTGTCTTATCTTCTTGTTCTTCTGTCACTTGTGTACCCCACTGTACATGATTTTGTTTGTATTTTAATGAAAATAATTCTTATTTTTAAGATAATTTGTCAATTCACCCATATGGTTAATGAGTTTTGTAAGAAATTATTTAATGTCCTAGAAATGACAAATTTTTTACTAAAATGGTTTATGTTTATCCTAAATATTTATACTAGAATCCATTCAAAATTAACCATTGCTATACATGATTTTGATCATAGTTGAGCTTTTCTTTTCTAGTGTGAATAAGGTAAGTGTTACATCTTACTAAAAATGTTGCAATTTCATTCTCCCCATGTTTTCATTTATACCCCCAGGTTGATGATGACTCCTCCTTAGTAATGCTTTTACCCATGGAATGTGCAGAAAATTCCCATAACTCCTCTTACTTCTTTAAGTCTTTCATTTCCACAGGCGCATAGCACTAAAGTAACTTTTCATGGAAAATCTCTACAATGAGGCTGGGTCAAAGAAATGATAGTCACCATACTTTAAACGAAATTTTAGAAGAAAATGACAAAATTCCTTCCAGGGATTTGGCGATAGGGATAATGTTTTTGTCACAGACTGTGATTGGAATTCTGGGAAATTTTTCTCTTCTTTATCGTTATTTTTTCCTTCACCAAATGGAAAGCAAAATGAGGCCCATATATTTGATTCTCAGGCATTTGTTTATAGCTAATTCTTTGACTATTCTTTCAAAAGGACTTCCCCAAACAATGGTAGCCTTTGGGTTGAAGCACTTGTTTAATGATTTTTGTTGCAAACTTAACTTGTATGTGCTCAGAGTTGGCAGAGCTATGTCAGTTTCTACCATGTGCCTCTTGAGTTTCTTCCAGTATATCACTCTTAGCCCCATGAACTCCTGTTGGAAGAATCTTAAAATCAAAGCTGCCAAGTACATTGACTTTTCCATGTCTCTCTGCTGGTTGCTACATATAGGGATAAACTCTATTTTTCCTCTGTATGTGCTGCATATATCTAAAAATCCAGAAAGCAGAAACAACACAAGTATAAGATATATGGAAATCTGTTCCATTTTAGATTATGGGACAAACATGGGCCCAGTCTATATTGCATTAGTAGTGTCCCCAGAGGTTTCTTTTATTGTGATCACAATATGGGCCTGTGGCTCAATGATTCTTCTCCTGTACAGACATAAAATGCAGGTTAAGCACATTCATAGCTCTAATGTTTCCTCCAGATCACCTGAGTCGAGAGCCACCAAAAGCATCCTTTTCCTGGTGAGCACCTTTGTATTATTTTACATCATCTCCTCCATCTTTTACATTTTTGTTGCTCTATTTTATAATTTAAGTTGGTGGTTGAAGAACATTTCTGGCATAATTTCTGTGTGTTTCCCAGTGATCAGCCCCTTTCTTATCATGAAACAGAATTCCTCTATATCTATGTTCTGGTTTGTCTGGATAAGAAACACAAAATTTCCCTTTCTCATGAAAAATACATAATTGTATATTTTGTCAGTTCTTTGTATTGTTTACTGTTCATTTCACTATGACAGGAAATACAAAAGTGCAAAAGGAGACCATATATCTTTCTTAAGAAGACTAATAGGGATTTCAGCTGGTTGAACATGGGACTTTTGTTGGAATAATGGATGTAAATAAAGCAGATTCTTCCAATTCTGGTGCACAATGTCCTGCTTATACCAATCTTATTAAGGCATTTTTGAGGCAAATAAAATGGTTTTTCTGCTCCTCCTTCTCTTTCTCCTATTTCTCCTTCTCTTCCTCTTTCTCCTCCTCATCTTCCTTTTTATCATTGCCTCCTCCTCTTCCTCCTTCTTTCTTCTTCCTTTTGCTTCTTTTCCTTTTCATTCTTCTTTTACCCCTCTTCTTCTTTCTCTCTTCTTCCCACTTTTTATTCTTTTCTTCTTCTCCTTCTCCTCCTCCTTTTCCATCTTTTGAGATTTTTTTTACTCTGTGAGACAGTCTCCAGTGGCTGGGATACAGTGGACAGAGATTTACATGCATATATTGGTGTCCCTGTTTCCCAAAGTTGAACACTTTAGGATCCCGAGTAAGAATTTATTTTGAACTGAAATGAGAGAAGATCTCAGGACACTAAACACTGGAGATATCAAGAATACAATGTGGAATTTCAACTTCACAACCAAAGGAGGGTCTCTACATCAGACCAATGCTGAGCACAAAACTTTGGGCATTTTGTTGTTTTTGAGTTCTGTGACAAAATGTCTGATGATGAGTGTCATGGTTTATGTCTGTGTCCCAGGCCTCATGAGTTTGAATTTGCATTTGTTATTCATTCAGTGTCTAGTGCTTGGATTGATGGTGTCAGTGCTCCACCCACAAAAGGGTGGAGCCAGGATGTGATGTAATGGTAGGAAGAAGGTGTCTCTTTTTCTTTGCTTGTTCTGGCTTGCTGCTTGCAGCTGCATGAACTGCAGCCCAGCCATGCCACATGTCTTGGAGCCAACTGAGTGTGGACTGAAACCTCCAAAAACTGTAAGAAATAAACCTTTGCTTTCCCAACTTGGGCATCAGGTATTTTGTCTCAGTGATGAGCATAAAGTAACTAAGACAGAATTTGGTACTGAGGAGTGGGGTCGTTTGCTGTGACTATACCTGAGCATGTTTCTCGAGAGGCTTTGGAAATATCTTGTGGGCAGAATTTGGAAAGGTTCGGACATGTCGCCTGTATGCACAGAGCTGGAGCAGCTTAGGCTGTTCTGTAGAGGAGATTCTGGTCAGAGCTCAGGAGACCAGAAGGCTGATAGAAACCAGATGGTAAAGATCAGGCTTGGGAGGTTTCTGCTGGGAAGGACTGCATTGGTCATTGGACTCCATATGATGTGTGTTATGGCTTGGCAGAAAGTCTGTCTGCATTTTGCTCCTGCCCAGAGACTTTGCCTGAGACTGAGACAAAGGGCAATGGAGTGATTAATCTTAAAAAAGAAATTAAAAAGCAATCGAACATTGAGACTGTGGTATGGCTATTGTTGGGGGCTTTCAGCCAGCTTTATGTTTCAAATCAGGAGCAAAGAGCCCACCAGGATAATGTACAATGTTGTGAGTTTGGCCCAAAGGAAAATTCCAGGAAAGCTGTGGATTGTAATGACAGAGTTGAGATTTTGATTTCTGAGGAGAAACAGAGAGATAAGAAAGATGGCCCCGGGGCATCCCAGGAAGTGGGTCCCCACCCTGTGCAGCCTCACAGCAAAGGTGAAAACATTTGCTTAGGGGGAAAAGCTGCAGAGAGCCATGTTCCAGAATGGTGACAGGGGCCACATGAAGTTCCAGAATGGCGGCAACATAGAGAAGCTTTTTCTCACAATCAGGTAAACAGAGCCCTGCAATCTAAGCAACTGACCCTGACAGCCAAGAAAGAGAAAAGCCTGGCTACTGCTTCAGCTAGCAGCAAACCTGGGTGGTATCCACAAGGTGCTGATTTTAGATGCAAGGAAAATGCACAAATTCTGAGGGTAAGATGGCTTCCACCTTGATTGCAAAGGGCCTGGGAGGCCAAGCAGTGTGCCCCTGAGAGGGCAATTTGTGAAGATGTAAGTGTGAAGCTGAAAGTGTAGTAGAGACCCCAGAAGTTTGGAAAAGCCAGAAATGTGGATGATCCAAGGGAAGCTGCAAAAAGCGAGCAGAGAAGATTTAAGAGAAAAGCTGCAGGAGTTGAAATCACCAGAGGTGCCCTGAGGGTGGAATCACCCAAGCCTTTTGGAGCTTGCAACCAGATTGCTTCAGATGCTGAGTGTGGAACTCTAGGACTTAATGTTTGCCCTGCTGGATGTTTGACTTGCTTTGTTTCCAATGCTTTCTATTCCCCTGTTTGTAACTTTTAGAATGGTAATGTTTATCTTGTGCCTTTGCATTTCAGAAATGTTTAACCTTGTTTCATTTATACAGGGGCTTACAGTTAAGATTTTGCCATAGATCTTGGAGAAGATTTGGGACTTGGACTGTTCAGCAATGCTGAAACTTAGGACTTTGGCAACTCTTGGAGGTGGACTAAATGTCTTTTGTATAAAGGATATACATGAGTCCTGGGGGCTGAGGGTGGAATGTCATGGTTTATGTCTGTGTCCCCCAGGCCTCATGAGTTTGAATTGTGCATTTGTTATTCATTCAGTGTCTAGTGTTTGGATTGATGGTGTCAGTGCTCCACCCACAAAAGGGTGGAGCCAGGATGTGATGTAATGGTAGGAAGAAGGTGTCTCTTTCTCTTTGCTTGTTCTGGCTTGCTGTTTGCAGCTGCCATGAACTGCAGCCCAGCCATGCCACCTGTCTTGGAGCCAACTGAGTGTGGACTGAAACCTCCAAAAACTGTAAGAAATAAACCTTTCCTTTCCCAACTTGGGCATCAGGTATTTTGTCTCAGCGATGAGCATAAAGTAACTAAGACAATGAGTACCTTACAGAGGACAGTATTTTATTTATTCCGTAATTTTGATTGGTCAAGGGATAACAAAACAATCAGCTCAGTACTTCTAAGAGAGCCCTGGTATATCACATGATGGCTGAAACTATCATAGAACAGTTGTGTATAAGAGGAAGACATTACAAATAGAAAAGCGCAGTGAGAGGATAAAGACAACAGTCTTTCCATCTCCTAACAGGACTCCCATGTGAATGAATCAGGGTTCTATAAAAAGTCTTTTTAAAATTTCCAATGTTTTGACTGATTTTACTCTGTTCCATTCTGTTTGATGGTATAGGCAACTACTTTGAAGGCAATAAGATTCACTATGATGTCCATTTTGGTTTGACTATTATCTTCTTTTGAAGTCCTGTAATGTCTCCAATGTTTAGGTTTTATTGGTCTTGTTCTGTACTGTTTTGTTCATTTTTATTATACCTAATCATATAGACAATTCTTTTTAAGGAAGCAAGAGGCATTGTGGTAACCATTGTTGATTACCTTGTATTCTGTTTTTATATCATGTGCTATGTCTATCCTTTGTTTTGACTGACTGCTTTGTTTTGTTATATTTGGCTTTATTCTCTTCCAAAAAACATAACAAGAACTATAGGAGAAACAAAACGCAAAATGTGTAAATTTTGTTGTAAAAAAAGAAAGGAAAAAAAGTGCTCTATAGGATACAACTACAAGTGTGTTTAGGTGCGTTAAGATAGATGACCATATTACTGAGTTTTTGTTGGATCACTGAACACAACTGTTTGCAGTCTCACTATTTGAATGTCCACTTTGTATGCTTTAATCCTGTAACTTGAACAACTACTTTTAAGATGACAATATGTAATCTATTAACTAGTGATTTCTTACCTTTTTTGTAATTGTGTATTACTTGTACTCTTATACTGTTTTGGTTTTTTTTCCTCCTTTAAATAAAAAAATTTTCCAATGTGAAATTGCCCCATGACCTGAGATATCACAGAAAAGCCCCATCATACACATTTTCTAATGAAACATGTTTGGGAGTGTTTTGGATTGACAGCTGGTTGTCAATTTAACACCAAGCTGAACTGATTCAATGTGGTGCTGAGAGTAGATGCCCCACCTGAGGATTGTTGCCAACATAAAAGGGGAACAAAAGTGGGAGAAGTGGATTGTTGGTTGTCCTGGATGTTGTTGGTTCCCCTGTTTCCATGGGTTCTCCTGCTTGAACTTGACAAGATTGTTTCCTGATATGAACTTGGCTGTTATCATCACAGGAGCTCAGGACCTTGTTGTCATTTAGAAAGGCTGTATTTCACTTTGGGGAGCCTTGCTCCTTACATTGAGCACCACTTCCCCTCCTCTGGAGGGGAAGATGTGTGCTGTTGAATTTCCTGGAGAAGCTTGTTGCATTGGCTTCCTGATATGAACTTGGCTGTTCTCATTGTCAGAGGAGCTTAAAAATCCTTTGTCACTGTGAATGCCTGTGATACTTTTAAGAGGACTTTGTTTAGCATTGCACCCACACTCCAGTGCAGACTTCACAGCCTACTGACACATATTTCCTGGCTTCTGTCACTGACCTTGGGGCCTTCCCAGAACATATCTGTGAAGTAGACTTGCATGAGACATTGTTATGGGCTCCAGCCCTCGAGTTTCACTTGGGAAGGACATTGCCATCAGCTCCAAGTCTTCATTTGGACTCATCCAGGATGTTGCAATAGAATCCAGGCCTTTGAGTCTTATTATGTCTATAGGTTTCCTGAACTCTTTCTTTGTATTTGACTTTTTGGGTGACCTCAAAAATTAATACTACAAATTATTTGTCCTGTCTTATCCTGTTTTTCTTGCAAATCCTGACTAAAAGAGGAAGGTAAACCTCATCCAAACCTGAACATCCTGGGAGTATGACAATCTGCCTTTGTTACAGTGTGTAAGTCCTAAAGTGTTAGTTTCCAATCATGGGATAAGGTATCCGACAATGGGATACAAAGGCACTACCTGATATCAGGCATTTTAGATCATGGTCTGTTTGCTCCAACAAAGAAGCATCATGGTGGAATATTATGGCCAAAGACCTCAC